ATTGCAAGTACAGGTATGACTTCCGTTAGTATTAGAACAACTCGCATTATTGTGGCAATCATGTGAGCCCGATGAACATTCATCAATATCTGTGCATGTCGTACCATTTCCCGTGTACCCCTGATTGCAAGTACAGGTATGACTGCCGTCAGTGTTAGAACAACTCGCATTATTGTGGCAAACATGTGAGCCCGATGAACATTCATCAATATCTGTGCATGTCGTACCATTTCCTGTGTACCCCTGATTGCAAGTACACGTATGACTGCCGTCAGTGTTAGAACAACTCGCATTTTTGTGACAATCATGTGAGCCCGATGAACATTCATCAATATCTGTGCATGTCGTACCATTTCCTGTGTACCCCTGATTGCAAGTACACGTATGACTGCCGTAAGTGTTAGAACAACTCGCATTATTGTGACAACCATGTGAGCCCGATGAACATTCATCAATATCTGTGCATGTCGTACCATTTCCTGTGTACCCCTGATTGCAAGTACACGTATGACTGCCGTTAGTGTTAGAACAACTCGCATTATTGTGGCAATCATGTGAGCCCGATGAACATTCATCAATATCTGTGCATGTCGTACCATTTCCTGTGTACCCCTGATTGCAAGTACACCTATAACTACCATCAGTGTTGGTACAAGTCGCGTTGCTGTGACAGTCATTTGTTCCTTCACATTCATTGTCATCAGTACAAGTTGTTCCATTTCCAGAATACCCCGTGTGGCACGTGCAATTATATGGCTCATCACTGTCACAAATCGATGTTGATTCTTCGCATGTCGCGTTCGTACTACATGGATTTGAATCGCAATATTTGACGACCTCACAAAACGTTCCATCTCCGGTGTAACCTTCATTGCAGACACAGATTGGCGGATCGCTTGTGGTTGCCCTACTTGTGCATGACGCGTTACCTGAGCAAGTCGAGCACTGATTTTTGTCTGTAAAATAATTATCAATTTCGATATTATTACCTACATGTGTTCATTTTGATTATTTAAGCTTTTTCGATGCGGAGCACTTCGAAAATGCATAATAGGGATGGGATGCGAATCGGATATCCAGGTCAACTGGATAAGATGCATTTCGACATGTTATTGAACAAGTTAGTTTGTATTGTACAACACATTTTGATAAATTGCATGCACTTGAAAAAAACATTGAAAAACTTACTCGAATCATTAATCAGATAGAGAGGTTTTTGACGGTCATAAAAACTGGCGTATGGGTCTATAGCGGAATAGATCTGTTCGTTAATTCTGACGAGAAAAAATTGGATAAGAAATGAGTAATGTTTTTCTCAGTTGCATGCTATCAATAAAAAACATTTTGTCCAATAAAAATTAACTGGTTAGTGTGATACCATGTCAAAATTAATCTTTTCCAGCTGAAATTTTTTTAGTATAAATTACAACTATGAGGAAACAAAACACAAGAGACAAGTGTAGGCAAGCGGTGGGACAAGTCGCACAGGGAGGACAGGACATTCACAATCCACAAAAATTCTAGAATAGCCTACCACATACAAAACAAGAAAATCTCGTCAATTTTATTTTTATTTTAGTGATCGAGAAACATCTTTTCATACGGTGACAGCACATTTGCACCCACGTACGTTTTCATTCGTAAACTGCATCTAGGAATTTTGCACGTAAATATTTTTTCAACCTCCGATATCTACATTCATACATTTTCAGCCACAAAGTTTAGCACCAGCATATAAGTTGCACCCTCGTACATTTTAATCCAGAAACATTTGCACCCACGAACATTTGCAACCATAGACATTTGCGCCCGCGCACATTTGCACCTGTGTACATGTTGCTGAACGTTTCTAGTTGTGGGGTCGCGAGTATGTGTAGGCTTTGATTTCATGTAAAATAGGGTCGCGTAAAAAATTGGGAACTACTGAGTTAACGGATAGAAGTCCAAATTATTCGCGCGCGATTTTGCAGGGGATTCATCTTCATTATCGCACATTATTGCCAAACGTGTTCATGACGTTTCCAATGTCACCTAACAGACTCTGAAGAATCCACTAGAAAACTCTTGCTCTGATACTCGGATTTTTCAAATCTTTGTATTACCGTTCTATCCCTGAATGTGTAACCGTTTGAAATTATTTAAGATAAGCCTCTACGTATTATTATTACTGTTTGTGCGCATTCAATCATCTTCACTTGATAAAAATACAGATAACAACAATGTCAAAAAATCAACGAACAACAAATAAACAATGCGCCAGGTTTGTCATTAAGAATATAATACTGGCCAAGTAGCGAATCGATATTGTAATAGGCAGAATTTCCAATTGCTCCAAACGTGTTTTAAAAACAAGGCATATATATCCCGCAATACTAAAACGCGGCGCTGTACATACAGGAACAATATTATTGTCGCTTCGGGATGATAGAAGTAATTTATAAATGAGAAGAAGCATTGTGTACCATCATGCTCGCGCTATTTGAGTAAGTTATTGATAGCGTCAATATTTCCACCAACCGATCAAAATTGTTATTAGCATTCAGTATATTAATGTTGTTGGATAATTTTCTTCCAACTTCTAGGGAAATGGAAAATTAAAAAGGTCAAGTCAACAACACCGGATTACCATGGAAATTTCAATGTGAACAAATCGTGAAATTGAAGTGAAATTTATTCGTTTTCATTCATCTCATTTGGGTATAAAGTTAAAGTCAGGTATTTGAATGGAAAAAAGAAAAAGCAATGTAACTGAATTTAAAGAATGATAGCAAAACACTCAGAGCATAAGACTTTGGAGAATAATGCAAAAACACGCAGAGCATAGGACTTTGGAGAATAATGCAAAAACACTCATAGCACGAATTTCATGAGAAATAGAAGAATAGCATCCTAACTTTTCATTACGTGTTTGAAAGAATAATGGATAATATTGGCAGTTGGTTCCGGAATACTTTCAAACATTACAATTTATTTTAGTACAATGAAAATTGATTGATATGATGATTGATAATACCCCGGTAGTCGACCAAAAAATTTGAGTAAAAATGCTGCGGTATTCGAACGAAAATTCGATTCACTGCTCACTCAGCGGTAACTGGTAAAATGGCCCGCAATAGAAATAGGTTCGTCACCCTTGATCTAGAGAAATGTTTATTGTCTTAAAATGCCTGTATTGAGTTGTTTTCTTACATTGTGATATTCGGTATTTGTTATATTTTATTGAATCCTTTCTGTTCTATTGATTTCATTGGAGTATTGTGATTGTCAGTTAATAAATAGGATTGAAATATCATTAATCGATATGAATACTGAGAAGCAGATTGACATCAGACCATATTATATGATATATCATGCATGGACTGACGGTACGCTACATAGTTTACAGAAGCAAGACATCAGATTTCCAGTAACGTGACCGAACAACTGTTCAGCGACAACCTTTCAAAGCCGCTGCTATAAGACCCTACCCATGGCATAGAGTGCGTAGACAAACAGGGCTGGATTGCTTGTTTGTTTCTATTATTAGGTGTTTTATTGGCCTATATTTATAACTCTATGCACGTTCGAAATTCGAAAAATACAATTACAATATTATCACTGCAATCATCGAGTCATAGTCTAAATTCAGAAAACAGAAGTAGGATAATAAATATCAAATCTCACTTGCAACGTAATTGTACAGATCTCCTACTTGAACTACATCTGTGTCGTTTTGTTGCCTAAACGTCACTCGATGCAACCATAAATATGTATTTCCATCTGTGAGTCCTTTAACATCGATCTGTTTTAAATTATATAGTTATTAACAATCATTTTCATTAAGCAGTGTGATGGATAAAAACATATAGCACGCTTAACTCACGCGTTTTTATATGTGTTCATTTGCAATAGATTCAATCAGTAGGAAAAATGAATATAAAACGAAAAACTTTTTATCAAATACATTACCAACGAAGGATTATATCCAATATAAAGAATCTCAAAGTAAACAACTAAGCTACATTGTAGGTTTGTGTCATTGTCAACTGGGTAAACCGATCTACTAGCATGGGCTTTGATAAGTGCGTCATGATAATTAATTAAATATGATAATTAATAGGGAAATAAATTTTAACAATCTACTAATAGAGCTACATGCAAAAACGACAGTTAAATTTACGTGTAGTTTTCCATCTAAAAATTCGTAAAGTGTCAGCTCAGACTAAAATTCGAATTGCAAATGTCTCAATTATCAATTATCTACGACAAACTAAAGACATAGAGCAGGGTGGTCCAAACCCAGGCCTGCGGGCCACATGTGGCCCGCCGCTCCATTATCTGTGGCCCGCGCCGCATTCAGAGAGTGATCAAAAAATCGCATTTTGTGTTGTTTCGTCATAAAATTAAACAGAAAAATCTTTCGACATATTGTTACATCGCCAAGTGTTACGGTGGATAGCTGAGGCAACTAGCGAAGTTGAAGTAATGTACTTGGCGGTCTAAATTGTTATCTAGCTTTCTATCGTTTTTGTCGGAAATATATTATGCTAACAATTTTAGCATCATAGAAAACTGAAAATCGAATGCGGATTCTATATGTCAGAAAATGTAGTAATTACCCTTCTGTACCTCTCATTTGGTGATCAGTCTATTTGCAGTTATATTTGTAAGTTATAAACATGACTTCGAAAAGAAAGCTGACGAATTCAAACAGATTTTTATTTGGATGTGGGAAGGAAAATACCACAATGCTAGCTTGGTATGTCGGCAAGTTGTGTCGGTGACAAAATAATTGAATTTTAATCGGCATTTTAGAATTTTGTGCTGAATGAGCATTTTCCAAAGTTAAGATTTTGCTTTGAAAATCTTATCGATGTTTGAACGCACTTACAATTGCGGAAGACGTTACCAGTAGGTTGCATCTGTTGTCATAAAAGATAATTCCCTCACTCTGTCATACAGCATCAAACTTTTAAAATCGACCTGGCACTCGACGTGTTAGTAAAATGATATTTTCAGAAGTGTTTATTGGACATGACTGCAAATACCACATATTATATAATATTGCACACAACTTTCACCTTCCAAATTGTCGTTGCATCTAAAGCAGATTCTTCGTAAATTGCCTCTGCTACGCCGTCGGCATTTACAACAATTTCATATTTTACAGCCTTACTTAAAGCTGGCACAAATATGGCAATTGATGTTCCATCAGTTGAGGATGTGTATGTTACTTCATCTGATCTCAGTGAAGTCAAGTTTGTAGCTGTTTGAATATTCAAGTAAATTATTACCGAAAGTCATGAAAATCCAAATATTTTTAGGACGAAAAACATAGGAACAGATTAGTTAACAGCGAGTACATTTAAGAAAATTTTAAATTTTTCTAAAACAACTTCGAAAAATTTTGTGAATGTCATGTAATATATACATAAAACGTCCTGAATACAAGTTATCTTTAGTTTTGCTATGTTCAAGTATGTGTCTTTGGCCTAACTAGTAAGTAATAAAAACGTTTCTATTATAAAGAATAATTTGGTTAAAAACAATCTTCGGAATTCTAATTAGGTTTCAATATTTTAATAATAGCTTCTTCCATACAAAAATTTTAGCCCGAACGATATTTTGTATAGTACGCTATAAATTGGGAAAATGTGTAAATGTGTAAAAATTAGCCAGTCTTTCAATTTGTCCGAATCATTGCATATTTAAATTCGATCTACTCACTACTATCTTCTTACTTGTAGTATAGAAAAATGGGTTCACTGGGGTTCTATCCAAGCCCGTGTCCACTGCATCAAGATACTGTGTATACAACGGTACGCTCTGATTTTTCAAGCAATCTTTTACAATAACTTTTGGTGCAATTCCAAAAATCGTGTTCATTGGCACTGAACCGATGACATTGCCCAAACTATTCAAGAGATCTGAAAAAATTATTTAGTTGCTTATTTATGATTTTGATGAAAAATACTTTCAAGTTAGCAAATGTAGGAGCAAATATTTTGTGTTCTGTCAGCACTATCAAAATCAACGAGCATCAGAGTTGTCAAATTAGTAATTGAATGGCTAGAAAAGTGGGATGTCGAAAGCACGAAACCGCGAAAAAACATTTTTTGCTATCTTTTTAGATATATATTACTCAAGTGAGAATTGGAGTAAAAAATAACAGAAACATAACAAAAAGTACCTCCGTTGGCTGCAATTACCAAAGAAGCTTCGATGAAAGTATTTCCTTCGGAGAAGCTCGAAGTTCCTAAGTTTATATCTAACTTTGAACTATGCTCTGGTGTCATTAGCAAGTGATTTTCAACGAGCGCATTTTTGATATCGCAAGGATTTTCATCTCCGGGGTCATAAATCAACCTATAAGAATTCGCTTCTCGTTTCATAAAAACGGTGCCAAACGCTTTATCTGAAAAACAATATGAATAATACACGCTTGTACATACCTATATTTGTTTCTATATTTTCTATGTTCGTTTATATTTTTGGGGGAGGATGGTTATAATAGAATAGTAGCTCTTCGTTTTTCAAAAAGTTAGCTGTCTTGAATGATTTGAGAAACTTTGTAATATACTAAAATATAAAGTTTTCGAAATACCCCATCAATAACTTTAGACCATAAAAATCCAGTCACGTTGCTTTTAAATAGTTACACGTACATGTGTGAGATTTGCGCGTTTGTTATATACAATTATACTGTCTAATGTTTCAAAAGTAACCGAAGAGATTAAAACTTTCAAAAAATCACAACAAACCTCCATTATTCACAAATGAATCGCGAAATCCGGTTCCACTTATTGTATAATTTGTTGTTGATGGTAGAGTTTTGTCTTTGACTTTGATTTGATAAAAAGCGAGTGGATTTCCACCATCATTTTTAATTTCAAGCAGACTAATTCCATTATTATCAATACTCGTATATTCATTAGTTATTCTTTGTAGAGTAGTATTCCATTCCGCACTGTCGACCGTTGGATGAGCGGCTACATACGTGACATCACTCAAAACAACTCTTCCAAATACCAAGTGGGAGGCTGAATAGAAAAAGCATTTACGAAAGTTTTCATGAGAAATTAAAATTCACCAATAAACAGAGTGACATGTACTGGCTCAATGAAAAAGGAATATTTCAACTCGAATATAAACAACCCACGTCTCATAACGTCGGTGTTTGCTCGAGAATAACATTTTTGGACACGAAATGCTTATTATTACCTTGGCGAATAGCGATCGCTGCGAATAACATTCGCAATTCTCCTTTCATATGATAGTCGATTTCAAATTTTCAGTACTTAAAAATCAAAGAAGTCGTTATAAAACTATCCTGTCGTTAGTTCTATGTATACGATATTTTTGCGCATATTGCGACACAGTATCTAGCACTATGTCAGAGAATTCAGCTATCATTTCGAAAAATAATACTATGATGACCTGGGTATAGTCGCGAATTGCTATGGTATTCGACTACATTTGATTTAAAAAATTTGAATGGTCAGATATCCGTCGAGGGTTCAATAGTCACATATGCTTCTGACGCAACGTGATTAGTCATTTGACCTCCGTGTTGATTGCCCTCTTGTTTAAGTTTTCGTTAACACCGGCATAGTGTTGTTTATAATTAGCACAAATCATTGCCGAGTTAAGTCAGTAATACAATTGGGAATGTGATTTCAAACAGTCAACGTAAAAGTCGTTTCACCTGTGGTAAAATTTTGCCATTCAGAAACTTCAGATTCCGCCAGGGTAATACCGTCTGAAAGTTTGGATGCACGTGCCCTAATTTCATATGTTGTATCGCCTGTTAGTCCAGATAACCTGCAAAAATATTAATATAATCTATGAAGAAAATCTATGAATTCTTTCGAATCCATACAAAAGCAATATATTTGCATACTAAACAAGTATTTTAATACAAACATTTTTTAAATTCAAAGATTCACATGTTTGTAGGATATGTACATATTTCGACAAATTTGGTTGACCTATATATAGTCTTATTATCCAATATTGAATACTCAAAACTTGGAATTGATCTTCTGAAATTAATTTATTTTAAATACACCTATAGAAGAGTTTAGACTTTAGAATAATCGACATTTTAGAAATTTAGATGAAACCTGAGTTGGCCTGAAAATTATATCGGCTATTATTGTATAAAGCTTCTCAAATAACAATCGAAAAGTTCTATATAGACTAAGAATACTTCCTAGAGATAGGTCAAATTAAAAATTTATACAAGACTGAATCACATTTTAGAAAAGCGCAAAAACATGTTGGGGGTTTAAATTCATATAAATTTATATTTTGGGGGGGGGGGGGGGGCAATATAAATAGACGGATATCTGTAATATATACACCAGAGACCCCTATTAATACTCAAGTGTCTTTTTTGAGAGCAAGCATCGTGCGCCATGCAACCACCACATTATATTTACAATCATGCAAAAGTTTGGTGGCCAAGTCCTCCTACCAGTGTGAATAGTATTTATCCGAGTTTGTCCTAACTGTATTTATATCGCTCGATCCAAATTCTCTATACTGTATTGTCCATTCCGACACTCTTGCGTAGTTATTTAATTGAAAGAACACGAACACGGAATCAGGAAATTCTTCACCTGTTTGTATTGTAGGAGCCCCTGGATCTAAAGAAAGATTAACTGTGTTAGCATAGTGAAATGTTTTGTAAATTTTAGGCCATATGATATTTGTGGATTCGATACAACCGCTCGAGTGAACTAAGACTTTATAATTAAATAATCAACCTGAAGAGCAAAGCTTAGAAATTGTGAACATTTTGCGTTCAAAATATTATATTATTTCGTTTATAGAACAGGTTCCAGAGATTATATCGTTCTTTGCTACATGATTGAACGAACAACATGAAATTCCACTCACTGGTGCGCAATGGCACGGCTTCACTGTCAGTTCCAATGGTACCATCTGATGTTTCAGATTTAATAGTTACTCTGTATTCGGTATCGCTTGATAATCCTGATATCTAAATTACGTAATAAATTTGCACGGCATGTTAAATAACAAATTATCATTTTACAGATATGTTTTACAAATATGAAGATGGAATTATAGATTTATTGTTGCTACAATCCCTTATTAGAATATTTTGATTCGCCAATTCTTTCAATTGTGATAATATTTTAATATATATATATATAGCTCTGTTACAATCTAAGATGTATGATTATAAGGCTAAAAGTTTCAACTTATGTTACTGTACGTTAGGTTGTAAACATGTATCACAATATTTTTTTACAAACTTACAGTTGAATCCGACGAATCCAGGCAAAAGACACGTACTGCGGATGCATGCTGTGGTGTTAGAGTGACATAATACTTCACTGCATCCGATACTTCAGTGAAACTCGCTTGAAATGAAGTGGACGTTATGCTGGATACAGTTACCGGATCCATTTGAGCTGCGTTTATCAGAATCAAAGAAAATATGAAGATTCATGAATCAATGCAGTTTTTATGCTTTTAGATGTTATAGTTAATTATATATAAATGAAGAACAATTATTGTAATGGGTTTGAACATTCATTGAAAACACCTTGTCTGACTGAAACACAAAAAAGAGGGCATTTTCGGACATGAATTTGAGCTTGGATCGTTTGTCAAAAGTATTGAGACTGTTAATAGCTCATGTTGCTGGTTACAATATAAGCCAAAAAGTTTTAGTATGTATTTGTTGTTGTTACGATTATGATAATATAAACAGGCAACGATTCCGCAGAGCAAGTACATGCGTATTCACAGTAACGGCACCGCTATCGAGTCGAGTCTACTGCTATGTGTTTGAGCAGCTTAATTATGGAACAAAAACTGGAAGCCTATCGATTCAGTTCCGAATATTGAAATATATTGCCTTGAAATCTTGCGTAGAATTACTTTTACTTTACTTTAATTATGAGCAATTTACGGAAAGTTTATTCTCACAATAGCATCAATAAAAACGATCATGTTTGCTTCAATCCCACACATAAATATCTATCATTCTATTCGTTTTGAGAATGGAAACTGCAGCTGATTTTTAGCATTCGTGAAATCTTTTTCGATATTATTCCAGTTTAAGCAATAAATTTGTGCTCGTGGCTTTGGCATTCCTCTCATTTTCAGAATTTTCATTATGTACATCTCAATATAAATGTTAATATTGATCAAATAGGTTTCCAGTAATTTATTCAATTGTATTCATCTTTTTCCTAATTTACATATCAAATCAGATCCTTAGAACTAAATTTTAGCTGACATTCACTATATAAAATGATTTAGTTAATAACTTTAAAGCCCAGTTTGACTGCTTTAAAACAAATAGCGAGGCGAATTGAATTTTGTGAGAACCCAGTTACAGCACTGAATTTTTTTGCTGGATAACTTACCTTCACATAAAATAAAGGAAAATGCAAGCAAAAAACATATCAAAAGAACTCTGTGTTGTTTAATCATGATGCAGAGCAGCGTATGTCAAGATATTCTTCTCATAACAATATTATGTTTATTTAATAATATTTACCAAGATCTGAAATAAAACAAAGTCGTAAGTGCAGTAACTTGGATATATTGAAAAAAATTATTGGGCTTCTAATATATTGTTATTTTTAGTTCAATTGAGGTTCCTTTCGAGCTTGGAATTCAGTGTTATATTGGTGGATCTGACATAAAGGATTACAGCTGTGAAAATATTACACATTCACGTATTTTGTACAAGCCCCCAGGAAAAAAAAATAGCCGGAGCTCAAAATAAGAAAATTAATAATTATCTAGTTGGGGTTAGGAGTGCAGATTGCGCTGGAAATTCAAATTTTGAATCATTTCTAACCAGAACGAGATATTTACTAATTTGTTATTTGAAAACGTGCAGAGGGTGTTTTTATCAAATCTCACATTTTTGCATTAGTGGCGGGTGCTTTGTACGAATCCACACATTTTTAGTAACAATGATAAGAAAGTACACTGGTATGGTCAATTTCAGTATGTGATTACAGTAACTTCCAGAACAATTCATATCTGAATATTTATAATACAGCGCATGTATTTTTGATTGTATTGATCGATCGATGGAAACAAACGCAATGTGTCATTGAACACTTTGTGTTCAACATTGTGTTCAATAAAACAAAACATATACAACAATAATTTAGATTGATCTATAATTGCATCCTGCACTCTTTTAAAGTCCTTCTATAGACTAATCATTTTCTACGATGCAATCGATGTTTAAACATTCTGACGCAGAACTATACACCAAATCAATTGTAAATAGCTAGGTTTAAATTCAAATCAATTTTTTGAAGTAAGCGAAACATTATTGGCATTGTTAAAGGGCTCAGTCAAAACTCAACTTCTGTACATCAAGAGAAATGGAAAATTCAAGTTATTCGCTGAATTTGAACGTAAACAGGACAGCATCAGAGTTGACCAAATCTGACATGTTACTTGTAACTTCCAGCAAACATTTTAAATATTGGGTCGCGATTGTTGTTACAGTGTCATTATACTTGATATTGCTGATTTATTCGACAATATTATCTGTGGCAGACGTATACAAAAACAGGATTTTCTGTTGTCAGTTGACCACTGAGTCCAAGTATGAACGGGGCGCAAAAGTTGCCCGTACGTTGCTACTAATCTTTACTCTATTTCATATGATAAATGAACTTATAATCAGAGTGTATGTAGATTTATATCTACTAAAGTTTTGTGAGACATTTCAAGATATAAGTATTACTTTGAATTGCATTTGCTTGATTTTAACTTATTTTGCCATGTGGCTGAGGCAGAAGAATATCTACAGCAATCCACTTACAAGCGAATTAATAACGGAAAACACCAAATTAGCGAGTGTATTAATTCTGCTTCTGCTAGTTTCAACGACCATAGGAAGCTGCCTGTCTTACCCTATGATGTTTCAATTCGGTATTATAGAATCTGGGTGCGGAGTTACTGGATCGAATACGGATAGCAAGAAGCCTTGGGAAATCAATGCAGCGCTTTTCACATCCATGAAAGTACTTCTACTCTGGTTGTTGTACAGACCGTTCCGCGAAGATGAATTATATTTAAATGACGAAGCGGGCAAGCTGAAGCCGCTTTTACAAAGATCGTTTTTTACTACTTTGGTTTGCGCAGTGACGGATACATTTGCATCCATAATGATTAATGCAACAAGAAAAAATGATGGGTTAAAACTAGCATTGTTTGTAAATGCGAGTTTGTTCACGAATGCTATTATGATTATTGTGTCCTTTCCAAAATGGAAAGAAACGTTTATTCCTTTTTATACACCGAAGGAGAAACCAACAGTAGAAAACGTGAATATTTCTGAATAGATTTGGATATGTTTACTGAGATACAGTGTGAACATATTTGCAAAATACAAAGGAAACTTTACAACCACTACTACATAAGGAACTACCTATCTAACTTGAGACGTTGTCACATATTTTCACCTTCAATAGTAAACCATATCATACAGATAGAATACTATAAAATATAAATTAACCTTCAGTTAAAGCGATCTGATAGAATATCGTAAGTGTCTTTATCTATCACAAATAGATTATTTTTTTTTAAATGTTGACTTATTTACATCGTACTTTACAATGCTTTCAACTTATTTGAAATTTCTGTAAACTATGCTTTCTACTATTTTATCTTCAAAGAGAATATTTTAGTAGTATAATAAAAATAATAAGAAATAATTCGTAAATTAATGAAAACCAAATAATGCAATTTCACTTGTCATTAAGATCGAATAATTTCTTTAATAATTTATCAAAGTTTTCATTATATTCATGTTTATAATGACAATACCTAAAAATTCGGCGCAATTTCCAATCCTTTTTCAATATTATAATTTTAGCATTCATGCATATTTGGAATAACTTTCGTGCATGCGATGTAATTCAACCATATCATTCCGTTTTTTACTTCGTTTGAAATTTTGAAAATGCCACAAATATGTTCGCATCAACGGAAAAACGGAAAACCCGATTTCTTGCTTACAATGCTGTGTAGCCAATCATATCACTCGATGATTCAAGATTATATCTTTTTAGCCATCAGTTTTTATTATATGAATACTTATTGATAATACCTTTTTGAATTTATCTGTGCAAGTATGAAAAAATTCTTGATACGATAGGAAAAGTTTGTATAAGTTACCTTGCAAATATTTAAGGAAATATTCGTTAGGGATAATAGATTAGTTTTTGAACATGAACTCGATGCTCTGTGAAACTGTTTAGGCACGTAAAAAGTAGACGCGTTACTGATATTATTGTAAAGAAAAGGATTCGAAAATAGATACCATATTTAAGTTTTTACTAAAAAAAACTACGAGAAGCGTTAAAAAGTTGAACAGATTGAAGATGCAAAGATAAAATCATCGAAAAAATATTGTTATTTATAAAGTGATGCTATTGTGAAATGATTTCTTTCTGATAACAATTACTTCAGGTTTTCTTAGTCATGTTTTACGGGAGTTTTATACTCTAAACTCATGTGAACACGCAAGTGGCTACATAATATACATTCTTCGCTTTTTGATTAACAGAGTGTATCAAAGCGTTAAACCGAGAAATACTTCGATCTTTTGTACCCAGTGTTTAATTTTTGGAGTACGTATTAAATTTTGGGTATTGTAGAGAGTATTGAAATTGGTTCATTTATTAAAATTTCTTCAGATATTGTAACATAAAAAGTCTTTCGACATTGACAAAAGAACTTTTGAACTCAGAACACGGAATGCCACATAAACACCTATCTTTCTTAAAAATCAAAAGTTAACATTGGCGCGAAGTACATTACGGTGCGAGAACAAAAGTGTTTGTAACTATAATGTGCTGAGCGAACCGAGGCGTACCGAGAAAATACTTCTGATTTATGAAAAGTAAGCCACCCTTGTCCACATACGTTTTAAAAAATAGTTACGTCGTGATTTTGATAGACCCTGTTGCACTTCATGTAGACATCGCCAATGTAACATCCAGCATAATCCGCATTCTATGAAGTGAAACTTCTTGGAAAAATACTTCTAGAAAAAAAATCTTAGATTCGGTTACGACCTGTAGTAAATGATAGATGAGATGTATTCAATAAATTTGTAGCACAAACACTTTTGTGGCAACGAAAGCAAAAATTGAATATTGGACCTAATCGAAACAATAACAATAGCAAAGTGGTATCGTGCGTATATCCAATCGTCACATTCTAGTCTCATCTATAGAGTGACTAATTAAGCACATCAAAAGGATCATAATAGGGTTTTAAAAGGGCGCTCCAGAAGTGTGTGTACCAATATGGAGGTAACTAACTTTGTTCGCCTATTTTACATCATGTTGTGTGAAGGGACTGAAACCTATGGACAGGGGGTATATTCACATATTCACTCTAACAAAGACAGTCCGCGA